ATTAAGACGGGTTTCTCTATTGCTGCAGTTCATTCTGTGGTCAACTCTGTAGCTCTGCCGATCATTAAAAGAAGAAATTATGGCCCTGAAACTTTGACCAATGGAGATACCATCCCTATCTCTGACAGAAACTTCCCTGGGATTGTTTCCTTTGAAGGGAAGTGGGAGGTTTACTCATTGATACTTTCTGTAGAAATCTCCATTAGGGATTAGCCAAATTGTTTCAGCAATATCCTAACTGTAATGGAACATTACATATTACTACTGGATGACGTGCTCTCCCATGGAAGTTGTCAGAGGCTAGCCAGATCTCCAGGTCGTATTCCTAGCTCTCCTACAGACTTGCTGTGTAATATAAAATGAATCACTTAATAACAGTGCCACAGACAATCTATAAAATGGGCATACGACCACCAGTGTCGTGAGACTTTATTAATTGACTAACATTTCCATGGTGCTTTGAAATTCTTAGCTGTAAGTCATTATTCATTTTGTGTCAGAATGATTCACTTGCTCCAAGGCATCTTTTCCCACTCCTTCCTCTTCCTCCAAGTTTGTTTGAATATATAACAGACTAGACAAACACTACAGGTTACTTTTGCCAATTAATTAGAACTTTAAAACTAGCCACAGACCACATCTTTAATTAGTTTTGTTTGAAGCTTCTGCATACGTTGGGTTAAACTGCAGAGTAATCAGTGTCAAGTCAATTCAACTACTATATCATGCCCTTATTGCAAAGTGAACAAATTGGCAGCCATATTACATACCACATCCTGCACATTTTGACTTGCAACAGATACTGGACGAGGACTGGGTGAGCAGTGTGGACTAGGAAGAGATAAGAGGATGATTTCTTTAACATACCCATGGACATAGAAAAACTATATAGTGAATTACTTTCATGCATGTTTGATGACAAACAACACAGGTAATAACTATACTGACTTCCACAGAAAACCCTGGCCTCAGCATTCGTTCTAGCATTTAAAATTTGCACCATCCACCACAATCTCATAAAGTGTTTGTTATCAAAATGCTGATATATGAGTGGAAAACATTCTGTCTAATGAGTATGTGTATATTTGCTAGAATCCCCAGGAGGTTCCCGTAAATGAGGTGCTCACTTCAATGAACCTATCATGGTAATTAATAAACTCACTAAGTAGACTCTGCTGCCGAAGGAAAGATAAACAGAATTCAAGGAGGCAGAGAGACATGATGGCAGAAAAGATTTTCATAAATATTATAAAAAAAATACACAGAAGGAGGGAGAGAGAAAGAGATTTTAAAAAAGAAAGAATGGTTAAAAAAAAGTCAAAAAAACAGCCAATGAGATACAGCAAGCTCCCATATGTTGGCAAGGAGATTATAGATCTCTACTTGAGCCAGGGCAGCAAAGCCTAATACATAAAATAATCCTCCACTTTCTGCACAGACTTTTTTTGATTGTGCTTAATTCTCATTCTCAAAAATCAACTTCAATGCTTATTGTATTTTACTCACTGTGAAATGAGGATTGCTTCCTATGAATTGTATTAGCCACCATTTCTTTTTGTGAAATGGTGACTTCTTTCCAATGTTGTCAATAAATTGGATTCACAAAATTATGTACAGCATTCTTGTCGAGCATTAAAAAATGCAATTATGACAACTATTGAAAAAATATTAAGTGTTAGGAAGACATCAGCACATTATCGCTTGGTGAGTAATTTTTTAATTTTAGATAGATACCATAGACTTGGTGTTTTTCTTTATGATATGCTGGCCAAAAAACACCGTTCAAAATATGAGTAAATAAGCCATTTCGACTGTAATGTTGCAAAATGGCAATGTATTACTGCAGAGATCTGTATAAAAAGGGAACAGTCTGAGCATTTGATGGGCGTTAATTTTGACTCTGTCTTCTCTGTATAGCTGTTTTAGGCTTACTCTTTAAAATCACGATATGTCTAGAACTTCTTGGAGCCCTCATCCAGGTTTTCCTCCTTTTCCCCAGCTCCCACATGTGCTTTAACACTATCAAGTTGGCTAAGTCCAGTGGCCCCCTGGAAGAGTTATCCAGGGTTGTACTGTACATAGTTTTCTTCATCCACAGCATGAGTGAACAAATAATATGTATAATATTCATTTATTAACTATTTCAAGTATCACCTAAAACCAAATAGATGGTGCAATATTTCACCTTTAACGGTTGCAGAAAATCACGTATAAGAAAACTCCTCAATAGAAGTCGCTTTGTACAGAATGCGCAAGGAGACAGCAGTATTGTTTATGACATGCAGCATCTCTCTCAGGAAAGTGAGAAGCATGTCACCCTCTGGCTTTTCAACCTATGGATGCCAGGTTGGGATAGGCCTTTAGTTCAATGAACTGCATGCTACATACGATAATGCCACAAAGTGCTGAAAATCTCACTGTAATTGCATAATGTTGCAACATATGTTGGAAAGGCATATGGCATTTATGAGTTATACGGAATTTGTGATTGCAGCATCAGGCAAACAGACACAGACCAACATCTTGGTTATCTCGGTAGCTAGGTTCCCAACTAGCCCATCATTACAGAGAGGTGCAATGGCAGAAACGACAAGTTCTCTGATGCCTGAGGGTTGGAAGGGTCAATGCTGCCCAAAAAGTCAGTGGCAAGAAGACATGGCCAGGATGCCCACAGAGTGATTGGGCATCTCCCCACAGCAGCTCCAACTCACAGAATTCCTATGGAGCTCTGAGCAAATCTAACATGTCTCTCCCTTTGCTGAAATCCCAACAGAGCACGTTGTAAGTAACACAGCCTGCCCTCTCTTAGGTTGACTCCCTTCTGTGCAAAAAGCAGCCTCGCTAATTCAACAGGGTAATTATTTACAGCTCTGTGTGCGCGTGTAAAGAATCTAGCCTGTACTCCAGGCTATGTCTGGGTTACAATGCAAGAAGACTTGGAAAGAAACACAAGGTAGATAAAAATCTTAGAGACCCATACACGGGTATAGGGATGGTATAGGTTGAAAATGAACCACACTTGGCAAAACAAAGATGTGGGAGCCCACTCCACAGCCAGACTTGCACATTCAAAAATGCAACAGTAGAAGAAGTGAGTCCTTGAGCACATGCAAGGCGATACCCCTACATTTTACAGCTACTTTTCCCCTCCTCCAAGGAAATGGTAGAATCAAACCCTGCATCTTTGAGTCACACATGCATCTGCATAACTTGCAAACAAAAGTATTTTCCCCCCACCATCAACACTGCAGGGCCAGTATAACCTGCCGCAAGAGCAAGGTGTATTCTATCCTGTCTCATGTGTCTTAAGCCTAATTGCCAGCTAAATTCCTATTCTGAATCTTTCCTGTTTGTGATAGTTGGCAATGCTATATGGTAGGGTTACCGTACGTCCTCTTTTTCCCGGACATGTCCGGCTTTTCGGCAGTCAAACCCCCGATCGGGGGGAATTGCCAAAAAGCCGAACATGTCCAGGAAAATGGCGGCTCTGCTCCTCCCCAACTCTTCAGCTCTGTTTAAGAGCTGGGCTGCCCGAGTGCTACCGGCTTCGGGCAGCCCCCGTGCCTCCAGACCCTGCGCCGCCGGAGCCCGGGAGGGGAAGTGCCTGGCTGGGGGCACAGGGTCCGGAGGCATAGGAGCTGCCCAAAGCCCGAGCGCTACTGGCTTCACGGTTTGCTGGGCAGCCTCCAGACCCTGCGCCCCCGGCTGGGCGCTTCCCCTCCCGGGCTCCAGCTGCGCTGGGGAAGCGCCGGCTGGGGGCGCAGGGTCTGGGGGCTGCCCAGCAAACCGTGAAGCCGGTAGCGCTCGGGCAGCCCTTTCCGCGTGGCTGGGAGTGGGAGGGAGGAGGGGGCGGAGTTAGGGCGGGGTTGGGGTGGGGTGCCCTGTGGAGGGTCCTCTTTTTTTATTTGTTAAATATGGTAACCCTAGCCCTGGGTCGTTGGAGAAAACTGCCTGGTCTGAACTGCTGTTAAGGCAGGAACAGACCAGAACAGTCCCTATGGCTGATCCTGGTACCTTTGGTTTTAGGAGAAGGTTTCATTACAGTATTTGCTAGAAGGTCTTGTTTCTTATCTGCATTGCAAACAAAGTTGTGTAAAGTTCTTTTGTAACCCCTTTAGTAACCATACAACCCTCTCTAGAATGGGATCCTGTCTGAAATTCTCTGGACAACTGTTCGGGGTGAGTAAAGGACGTGTGTATGGTTAAAGCCATTGCAAATGTGCAGATGGTCAGGAAGAAGTGAGAGACTTGGAGAGACAGCAGGAAACAGTCAGAAAACACCCATTGTATCCGATGCTAAATGACAACCTCAGAGGTGAGGCAGACACCCCCCCCCCCCGCGCGAGACAACGGATCAGAGATAACAGCGGAAAACCCCAAGATTATCCCCAGCTAAGGACTAAAGATCACGGTATGACATTGCAAAACCCATAGACTAACGTGGGCATTTACACATATAAAGCTGGCGTGTTTTGCCACAGAACTCTGGGTTCAGTCCTGCAAAGCCTCGGATCACACCGACAAAGCCCAGCTCCTCACTCGTGCCCAATCTAACTGGCCATTAGAGTGACTGGAGCTACGACACCCTGGGAAGTATAAGACCGTGTGTGTGTGTGATTAAAAGCATATGCTAACTGTTGTATTTTCAATAAATGCAGCGTGTTGCCTTTTCCCCTGAAAAAGATCCCATGTGTTTCTTATAAGCATAACACTCCCGGGGACGAAACGCCTCCAGGCGTCTTGGGAACCAAACCCGGAGCCATTCATCAACAATACTTTTATGCCCCCCCCCATCTCATTTGCATAAACAAGGTTGGACTCTGCATCTCCCCTGAAATGCAGCCAAGTCTGGGGTGGAACGCAGTGCGTGGGAACGCTACACAGCGCTCGAGGCCAGGACGTGACAAGGAATCCCGTCTGCAGGGAGAACCAAAGGTGTTCCCTGAGCTGAGGCCGGGCGAGGCCGCTGTGGCTAACGCCCCAAAGCGAGTGGCATTCCCCACCACCCCCACCTACCCCGCACACATGGCTCAGCCCTACCGGTAGGTGGTGATGTATCTGGTGGGGAGGAACGTCTCCACACTGGGTGTCCAGGAACAGGAGAAATTCTCGTAGTCAGAAGCTCGGCAGGTGACGGAGGGGATCCCGGGCAGGTCTGATGCCGGAGGGGAGGAGACATTTAGGGGACTATCCAGGGGCCCCCAGCAAACCAGAGCCTCCCGCCCCGACCCCCTGGGCTTTGGGCTGTGGTATGGTGAGAGGGCACTAGGGGGCGCTGTGCGGCACAGCACTGGGTTGGGTGCCAGTGTCCCGGATGGAGCCCAGGGCGCCCATGAGGGTGCCTGTGTGAACGGATGGGGGGGCGCTGCCTGCTGAGGCCCCTCCCCTGGCCATGGGGCAGATGCAGGGAGCAGGCAGCCCACGCCCGGCACGGCATGAAAAGCAGCACGTTCGCCCCGGTGACAAGCTGGTCCAGTCAGGGGCATCCCTGTGCCCAGCCCTGCCCCCGGGGGCCCCGCATGGGAGCTGACTTACAGCCCAGCCGGAGGGAGACGGAGCGGAGGAGCTGCCCGGTCCCGTCGTGGCAGCTGTAGGCTCCTCCCGCAGCGAGCTCGGCCTGTGGCAGCAGCAGGTCGCCATCCCGCAGGACGCAGCCCTCTGGGAGCGCGGCCGCCCCGTCCCGCCGCCACTCCACCCCCGAGCTGGGGACGAGAGGCCGGGCACTCGGTTAGCAAGAGAGAGAGGGCCTGGCTCCACGGCACAACCGCTGGCACCTGGCGCTGCCACATCCAGACCCATCAGGGCTGGTGTGTGAGCACAGGGATAGCAGGGGCTGCGGGTCGGGAGCGAGGGGCAGTGCAGAGCTGGGGGGTGGGGGATCCAGGGCTGGGCTAGCAGGGGGCTGCGGGTCGGGAGTGAGGGGCACCGGCAGAGCTGGGGGGTCGTGGTCTCCCCCTCCACCCCTCCCGCTGGGAGCTGGATCCATTCCAGGCCTGGTGTGAGCAGAACCAGAACCGGAACCAGGACCGGGACCGGGCACCCTCCCCTGCCCAGTGGGGACCTACCGTCCGGGGGCGCTGGCACACGACAGGACGACGTCCGCCCCCACCTGGCCGTACTGCACACCTGCAAGGGCACAGAGCAGAGCGTGAGCGGCTGCTGCGGGGGGTTCGTCTCCTGGGACTGAGCAGGCGGGGTCCGGGCCCAGCATCCGGCGTCTCCAGGGTACCCGGGCGCAGGCCGGCTGGGGCGAGCTGGACTCATCCCGGGCTAACACAGCAGGGATGATGCCCTGGACAGGGGCGTTGGGCCCCCAGGGCCGGCTTTGGGCCCCCAGGACCGGCGCTGGGCAGTGGAGCCCCAGGGCAGCCGGAGTTTACTTTGCCCCCAGGCGCAGGGTGGGGGTTTGCTCCAAACCTTCAGAGCTGGGGGAAGGGGCCAACCCCCGGGATCGGGGGGCGAAGACCAGCCAGAAACTCCTGCAGGTCAGAGGGCGATGACACTGCACCGCGCTTGCCAGGCTCAGGGAGGAGCTGAGGGGGAGCGTCTGCAGAGCACGGTCCCCTGCCCCGGGACCCCTTCCCATCCCCCCCAGAGCACACGCCCCCCCCCCCGGG